TTAAACATGTTATTAACGCATAGATTTACAAAACCCATACCCCAATTTGCATCAAAAACACATAAATTATCATGAATTTAAGAACAAAATTTCAAGTTCATAGCCATTCTTGATTTTCCTTCTTCAATTTTTCATGTTTTTCTTGAGTTTTAATGCAATTAAATGCTTCAAACTTTAATTAACACAAATATTTACAATGTCCATGCTTCAAATTGCATCAAAACAACATGAATCAACATAAATTTGAGCCAAAATTTTTGGACAAAACACTTATACATAATCCAATTTGATTCTCTTCAAATTTGGGCATGTAGTTCAAAATTTTATGAAATTAAATACTTTGTTTCATCTTTATAGCACATGGGTAACAATATTCAATAACCAATTTAAATTAAAACCCATAAAATATCAAGATTTTAATTAAATTTTGAATTTAATTTAAATCTTGAACCAAAATCTTTATAACCTAATTTCTCTCTTTATAGGATGAATTAGAAAATATTCCATACATTTTTTAATCCTCTCATAGAGGAGAATAAAAACCCCAAATAAATTTTGGAAAATAATATCAAAATGTTGGGTTGTGACAATCACAGGATTTCACCCAAAAACTTAATTTCATGTTAATTAGGCTCCTAATATCATATAATTAGGCTCTAATATCATATGTAAGCATAATTTTAAATCTTAAGAATCATATGTGAATATTGGAATACCAAATTTCACTATATTACATACCTATTTGGATAGACATAATTGATAAGCAGAAGCAATATCAATTGCTAAAAAGACTAGGTCTTTTTTTTCGTTCATTTTTTACTGACAACTCTTAATGGGTAGATACCGTTAGTTAGAAGTGAAGAGAAGACTTTAGCCAATTTATATTAAAACTCTCAAAATCTTTCTATCAAAGATTTATGGGGCTAAAAGCCTACACAACCACTAAACTACATTGACCCAAAAAAATATATAAAACCCACACTTAAGTAATCACATTAAATTATTTGATCTCTCATACTTATTTTATATTAAGACTAAATTTATCAATCTATTTTATTAAACATTAAAATCATCAATTAATAATAACCTACTTATTGAAAATTCTAACAATTAATTGTCCTATGAAGGGTTTTTAGAATGATTGTGATGTTAGGTGGGATTTGGGATGAGATCCTTTGAGATTTTAATAAAAAAATTAATCTTATAGTGTTTCATACATACGCAGATAAACAAAATTAATATAGGGAAAACAATTTTAAAAGGTTTTCTCTCAACACCACAAACCCTTATTATTATATGGAAAATGTTAACCAGTGCTATGCTATAAGTATCCTTAAGGTGATATTAATTTAAAAAAATAATCAATGTATTTTTTTACTTTAATAAAAATAATATGTTAAATATATATTTTAAAATTGCATTTTAATTTTTTTTTATATATTGGAAGTTCCAATAGGATAGGAAAAAGAACTATAGATATTAAAATTTATATTTTAAACTGATTGTATTTTTTAAAATGATTATATGAATTAATTAAATTAAATTTTGAGTTTGCATCTTAGTTATTTTTAATGATTGTCTGCAAGTCCTATTTAATTTATTATATAATTCTAAAAAATTTAACAATATTAGAATTTAGTGTTAAAGTTTTTCTAAATATGTTATTTATTGTTTTTGAGATCAGAGAACGGTTAGTAGTAGTAATTAATTTCAAACATTTGCACAACCACCGGATCATATGTACTCTGCGATCAGGCTATGGCCTATGAGATATTATAGAGACTTGAGAGCGAATGTTGCTTCTAAATTCTTAATTTGTAGTAACAAAGCAAGCCGAAGCCAACGTAGCCTGAGAAGCGGGCATATCCAACCCAATCAAAATATCTCCTCATAATCAGTCATCTCATCAAACTCAAATCACCTTCTGCCATCCGTGTCTCAGGCCACAAATGGAGAAGACGAGGCCTCTGCTAGACGGGGCACCAACGTCTACGACGTTAACATTGTTGGAGAATGGAGACTATGCGCCGCCGTGGAGCTTCAAGGAAATGAAGTCGGTGTTTTGGATAGAGACGGTGAAGATGTGGAAGATATAGCAGGTCCCATTGCTTTCCAAATAATCTGTCAATATGCAACCAACTCCGTCACTAATATATTCGTCGGGCAGATCCGTAACGTCGAACTCTCAGCCGTCACCATTGCTCTTATTGTCATTGGAGCTTTCTCTTTCGGCTTTATGGTTTGCTGTCTCTTCCTCTCACATCTTTCTCTCCACGTTATGTTACTACGATTTTAAACATAACTAGTTACATTGGTTGCTTCTTTCAAATTAACATTTTTGAGAATGAAAAAGTAATTGAGAAAGTGAATTAAAGATAAAATTATTAATTTTTTATAAACATTTTTAATCGTTTGAATTTTTCTAGTACTGTCAAGTGTCACAGGAAGGAACAGTGAGAATAATCAATGTACAAATTGATTAACATGTAGCTCGGCATGGGGAGTGCACTTGAGACACTTTGTGGTCAAGCTGTTGGTGCGGGACAAGTACACTTGCTTGGCATTTATATGCTAAGGTCATGGATTATCTTGCTTGCCTCCTGTTTCATCCTCTTGCCATTCTACATTTTCGCGACCCCAATCCTTAAATTTCTGGGGCAAGAAGATGAGATCGCTGACGAGGCTGGGAAGTTTGCTATACTAACTATCCCAGAATTGTTTTCACTTGCCATCACCTTCCCTACTGCAAAGTTCCTTCAGGCTCAGACCAAGGCTAACGTACTGGCTTGGATTGGGTTTCTGGCTCCGATTCTTCACACTGGAATTCTTTGGCTTTTCGTTGATGTGTTCGGTTGGGGAACAACTGGTGCAGCCATAGCATTTGACATCACCAACTGGGTGATCACTTTTATCTCAAGTCGCCTATGTTATTTTTTGGTGCAACGAGGGGTGGCATGGCTTTTCATGGTTGGCATTTAAGAAGATATGGGCCTTTGTTCGACTCTCCATTGCCTTAGTTGTGATGCTTTGCTAGAGATTTGGTACATGACGAGCATAATTCTTCTTGTTGGTCACCTTAATGATGTAGTGATTGCAGTCGATTCCCTTCCATATGGTGAGTACTTCATAAAATCTTTGCATCAATTGTTTATGAATCGTATTATTGTACCTCGCGGCTGATTTCAATCCTTTCAAAGTTAATTCGGAAGCGAAGAAAAGTTTTGACTTTCTTGTCTGAAGGATCTGTTTTAACTTTTAAGTAGTTAAAGAAATATGCTAAAAAGAGCAATTGTGATTGGGAAAAAGGAAAATTTTCCAAAAGAAACAATATATTTAATCAATAATTATGTTAAGAAAAGATAATAAATGAGTCCAGCCATTTAATTTTACAATTATTTGGATTCGTTCGATGCATTTTTCAGACATTTATGATCCATCTTTTAACATTATATAAGCTCCTTGTTCCTTCAATTTGATTTTACTTGACAGTATGAATTTGAAGAAGCTACGTTGTTCGTTGGAATAAACTCTGCTATCAGGTAAATCTCAGACAAAACCTTCAGCATATGGTGATTATTTAATATGTATTGAGTTTTACATAATGATACTACAGGGAGTTCATTCATCATTTTCTGATTTTTCTCAAAAAAATTGTTTCTTGTTTGGCTATAAGCATACTGGCATGATTGCCGTGAAAACTGAACGTTTTCATTCGTCAGCTATAGCAATAGTGATCTTGTCTGAGTCGAAATTAATGTTAAAGATAGCACAAAACAGAAGCCTTTTCTGGTTTTGTAAATTTCCCTAAATTGGGCATTGCTGAATCAAAAGGTTTGTACGGTTCTATTGGTAGCAGGTTGGATAAATAAAATTGCCATTTATTCAAGAAAAGGAATCATAGGTTTGCTACTTTACATTTTTTTTTTTGGATGGTAAAGCATATTTTTCTAATCGATTTCACATTTAGATTGATTTTCTCAGCGTTCAGGTTTCCAATGAGCTTGGATTGGGACATTCAAGAGCAGCCATGTGTTATGTATATGTCACTGTGTTTCAGTCTCTCCACATTGGGCTTTTCTGCATGGTTCTTGTTATTATAACCGGAGGACCACAATGCCGTCATTTTTACTAGCAGCGAAGAAATGAAACAAGCTGTTGCTCATCTGGCATACATTCTTGGTCTGACCATGGTTCTTAATAGTGTCCAGCCAGTGATCTCAAGTGCCAATTATATGTTTGATTTCCATTTTCTTTAGGCTATGAAATTAATTGCATAATTTTTGCATCTGGTTATATACACTTTTCTATGTCATTCTTGTAGGTGTTGCCGTCGGCTGTGGATGACAGACTTTGGTTGCTTATATTAACTTAGGTTGTAATTACGTTTTTGGTCTTTCGCTCGGCTACCAACTTGGTTATAAAGCGAACTTAGGAGTGATGGTATGGTATTTCTGTTCCACTTCTTCTCCTACCTGTCTCTCCACCACGAGCAGCTATCAATTTCCATCTGATTCTAACTAGTTTAATGTTAAAAAAAAAAAAAAACAAAGGAATGGAGGCCTTGTCCCTGACTGTGGCGTGATGCAATCGGCATTCAGCCATGCTTTTCCTCTGATAGGAGTCTCAAGCTAATATTCTACTTCTCCACTCTGACCAAAAGTAGACCACCTACAAATTTTTAGCATACCTGCTACTTCCTTAAAGACCTTAAAACTTTTCTTCTCGCAATTGCATGGACTTTGGGGAGGCATGATTGCTGGAGCTGCTTTGCAAACCTTGCTGGTCTTGCTTGTTCTCTATAGAACCAATTAGAACAAGGAGGTTAGTCGAATTGCTTTTGTTATTTACTCGCTAGAAAATGGAGTTTTTAGGGGGTTAATCTTTGCATATAATAGAGCATAATCTGAGTTGTAACACTTATTTATTTGTTTAGTTATTAAGCATAATAGAAAATAACGAGCAATTAATATGATTTCATTTTGATTGTCTGTGGTCAATTGCGTTCTGTTTTTTCTCATGCAATTCAGGTGTTGAGAATTGTAGACAGTAAAACTTAAGTAGTAGAGTAATTCATTTGCAGGTGAACAAACAACGGAACGTACGAGGAAGTGGGCTGAACAAGACATTAGTACCGACAGGATATACTGACTAGCCTTTAGCATTTTTTTGGGTTTATTTCTCCTGATTCTGCTGGGAGCAAGTTAGTTGATACTGGCTACTTGGTATGGATGCATTTCCAATTTAAAAAAAAATAAAATAAAATAAAAATAAACCTCCCCTGTATTTCAACCAGTTTTATTAATGCATTTGGCATCTACAAAAAGTTCACGTTGCACACCGAGATGACTAGGCTTATATCAATAGAATTCGTAAGGATTTTTCCTTCTATTGGCATCGTTGGTGGAAGAGGAGATACTAAAAATTCCAAGATCGGCAAGGATCAACGAAACAAAAAACAAACAAAGAGTAAGCGAGCAAGATCTCACAGGCCCCAATCAGGTACAAAAATTGTCTAATAACAGCATCTCCAGCCACATTCTAAGACCCTGAAAACGGAATCCAACAGTTTCCGTAACTCCAAAACAGTTTTGGCTTTTCGCTTTATTTTCCCGTAGATTATTCTTCCTCCCGGTCCAAATGAGATAGATATAAAACGCGTTCCAAGCTATGCGAAGAATAATAATCAACAGAGCTTTACCTTCAAGCTTGGTCCTGGTCCAATAAACTCAGATAGATATCCAATCTCCAACTTGTGATGTTGCACCTGTTCAAAAGATTGTGGAAGAAGTCATTAATTCATTATTATGCAACAAATTAGTTCTTAAGTTGCTCAAAGTTACAATTCCGTAAATTAAAATGTGCACTTCTTTTTTGAGCAAAGATTGACGATAGTCCAAATTTATCTGGTCTAAATCAAGCTACGAAGGCACTTTATTATCAATAAAAGTTTCAACATCCAGCATTAGCCAGCATCCTCACGGCCGAGTGGTTTAAGGCGGCAGACCCACATTCTGATCCTCGTGATAGGGTATGGGTTCAAATCCCACTTCTGAGTTCTGACAATTAAATTAGTATTTATGGATTTTGCTTTGTTTTGGGCTGATGTTGAATGGTAAAACTTATGAAGATTTGAAAGGATGGGAAGCTACTTCACTGACAGTAACATTTTATGCTCCTTCTACTTGACAGGGCTGCAAGAGGCAGTCATTTGGTTATGGGGTTCTCTTCTCTCAAGGTTGCGACTCAAATGACAAATCATGGTGACCGGCGAGAGCAGACTCGTCAAGCATAAATCAAGTTTCTTAAAACTTCAAAACACATGGGTTGTTTCATCGCTTTTACTACTATTATATTTATTTAATGAATTAATGTTACCATTAATTGCCATATTTAACCCTACTACTACCGTAGAAATAAGACTATGAAGCATTTAAAACTTCATAGAATTCTTTAACAACTCGACGTAAATTCAATTCAAGCTGATATTGATCATACACTAGTTGAAACTTGCAAGAGAAAAAGACTGTTCCCAATCCCATATACAAACTTAACCAGACTTTACACCCTACACAGACAATACTTGCAACACATTGTACCCTCGACTTCCCAATTTTCCGTATTAATGTTTATTATTATTTCACATTAATCACATCAGCTGTGCCTGCTTGTGAATAAAAACGTTGTGCTTAAGGATTATAAAACAATCCCTTCAATCCATTCCAATATGATAAAATCAATTTTTGTTTATAATAAAAAATGGGATAAAAAACATGTCTTTCCTCTTTTTACTAAAATGAAGGTCATATCAAAAATCAATTTAAAGTAACAGTTCCCAACCTGATCTTATATATATATATATATATATAAAATATTTTTATTATTTATATTGGTTTTAAATTTATATATATTATATTAATAAAAATATTATTTAATATTTTAATTTAACATATTAACTTTAAAAATTATATTTATATATAATTAAACTATAATTTATATTTTAAAAAATATTTTATAAAATTATATTAAATTAAAATTATTTAGTTAGTTTGAATCGAGCTGTTACGATTTAATGTTAAAGTCAAATATAAATATTAAAGGGTCGAGAGGTTGATCAGGACAAGAAAAAACCTGCCTTGGCTGCTGCTTGGCTGTTGCCATCCCTAGACTTCAGTTCTTGCGAAAACAGGTATGCTGGAAGAGGAATGAGGATCAAAACCAACATTAGCGACAGATGTTCAAAAACAACATTTATAGTGAGTTTTAAAGAAACCTAAATTAAAATAAAATCACAGTGAACTGAACAGCCCTCTCAAGTCTACCTAAGATTCCATTTCCTTTCAAGCAAACATGAAACATTGGCTTAAAGACAGCCCAGAAAACATTATGCTGCAGCTTTCTGTTTCTTAGGCATCCAGTAGCCACCGACAACACAAGCATGGTCACGCTCAAAAGGTTCAAGAGTCACTTGTTCGAATGGTTTGAACTGCTCCAGTTGCAAATTCTTAACTTCACTCTGGAATACAACCTTGGCAGGAACGGTGGAGTCAATGCAGTTAGCCTGGAAACAAATATTCAATCAAGTTAAAGACAAACTTGCAGAGCTGAAAGCCTCTAGTGAAACGTATTAACTTCCATGTCTCCAAAACATATTTCACTAGTTTCAAGTTTAAAATCACAAAATTTTGGAACACTAACCTTGATTGAGATGACAAAATGACCTCCAGTTTTCAAGAAATATGACGCATTCAAAGCCAGAATCCTTGCCAGCAAATAAAGTAAGTAAACAAACTCAGAAATAAAAGAAAAGCAGGAACATTACATCAACTCATCTCTACAAGTAAAAGATACGAGAGACAAGTTGATTAGGCTAGTGGATTGTTAGTGGAGGATTGTTAGTGGACTAAGCTGTCAAACTATGACAAGTTCATTTAATGCAATAACGTGCACCGATGAAAATAAATGCTTTGTCTTTTCAATTTTAGTAATGTGCATGTATAGAAAAGAATGCATGAGCTTGCAAAACAAAGAAAAAGAAGTTTTCAAATGCTAGCATGACATGTTTTAAGAATAAAATAACCAAAAGAAATTAAAAGAAACGAATATATACAATTACTACCCTTAAGAGAGTAAAAAAAACAGTGCTTAATGAAAATATGTTGCAAAACCTCGCACAAACATGACAGAGAGATTGAAACAAGCATCAGAAACTCGGCATTGCATCACCCATGATGTCTTGAAGGGGAATCCGAGCACTTCATCATTTGCATAGTGATAAAAGTCAAATAAAAATAACAAAGAACAAACACATGGGAAAAGAGAGAGGCTGCTATACAAGAGTTCCATAGACATACTTCCTGATAAAAGAGGAAGTATCTTTAAGCTTCAACTCCTTGTAGACAGATACTTGTATCCTTATAGTACATAAAAACCCAGAAACACAAATTTCAAAAAAAAAAAAAAAAAGAAACAAAACCTTCCTTACGAACTGAATTTGCTAACAATTTGCTAACTATTTAAAGTTGATCATTTAATATTGCATCAGAAACTCGAGTTTGCATCACCCATGAAGTCTTGAAGGGGAATCCGAGTAGAGTTCATCATATGCATAGACAGATAAAGCTACTTTACAAACACAGAAGATCAAGAGTAATCTGTTAAAACAGAACACTGAAGAATAAACACATAAGGAGGTAAGAGAAATAAACCAAGCAATGCATAGATGCAATTCAAAGCAAATTTGAAATATGGGAAGCAATTAAAAGAGAGCACACAAGTAAAAAGGCATATTATCAAGATCCAGCAAGCTAAAGCACTATATCAAGCTGCAGGTTAATCCAGCAAATAAGCCTCATCCTCCAGATTGCTTTTTCACTGTTCTCTCAATGACAAAGAAAGTAACAAATACTCAAAAGGCAAACCTGATCAGGCTGAGCAACATCAGAAAAAATCACATCCACCATGCCAACTAGCATCCTGTATTTAGATGGATGCCTAGCATCTTCAATGATAGGAATAACATTTGTTCTCTTTTTAGCCATGTTCACCAAGTCTCTACCACTTCTGTTTCCACTGCATAAACCACACCCATCTGCCAAAGAAACGAACCAATAAGCAACTCTGACAGATACAAATATACAAAGACATTGGAATATTCAGGTTAATACTATACTTACAGGACCAACAATGTCAGATACATGAGAAACAGTGCTACCAGAAGCAGCTCCAAGGTAGAGAACCTTAGCCCCAGGCTTCTTGATTAAACAGAAAAATGAATTTACACAGGTCGGTGAGGATCGTGGGAGTTACAAATCACGTACATTACATGAACAACAACAAAATGAGAATTGACGCTTACGATCCATATATTATCAACACCACCAAGAATTGCAGCTGCCAACTTAGATCGGAAAGGATTCCAAACCCTGTACTCAACTTTAGTCCCATCTTCGTTCTGTTAAGGCAAATTCATGAAAGACCTTCAATTTGTCATCGCAAATTTAATCATACTCTTGTCAGCAAGACAAGTAGAAGAGCAAAATACCCAAGTAGCCAAATACAAGAGAATATTCAATCCATCATATCAAATATCTTATAGTAGTACTAAATAACAGAAAGAAAGTGGAAAGACAAAATGACCTGAACAGCAATCCGCTTTTCATTGTAGACAGCTTCACCAGGGACCATATTCTTAGTGACAAGAGCATCTTCTTTACCCTTAGCAACAAAAACTCCCTCGTGTCTATGGGGCTCAACTATAACCTTGCTTCCACCCTTCATTCCTCCACGCCCTCTTCCTCCACCGCGGCCCCCGCGGCCACCACGTCTCCCTCCACGGGACTTCATGGCACTGCCCCCCCTATCGCCACCTCTTCCTCTACCTCCATCACCTCTGCCCCTAAACCCGCCACCACCACCACGGCCTGCAAATAATCAAACCATTAGAAATACCGTAACAAGACTCCAAACCAAAAAAAAAAAAACACAGAACTAAGCTTATTCTTAGCTCCAAACTATCAGACTCAGATGCTGCTTTAAAAGACAAAGCAAAATAAGAGAGACAATGGTTACCTCTTGGAGGTCTCATCCCTGGGAGAGTTTAAATGTAAAGAGGGTGAACAACAGAGAGAGTGAGGCTAGGGTTTATAATTTCCTTTTATAAAAAGACTAGGGTTTATATTCCGGCCGAAAAAACTAGGGTTTACACTAGATTGGATTAAGCCCACAATGAGGACTGGTAAAAAACCATGGGCTTGTCCAATCCTTTCTACATGTCTTAACTGTAAACCATGTAAATGGTTCCCAGACATCAAAGCCCAAGTCTCAATTCAATCATTTCTGAACTGATTAATGATTAGTGAGCGATTCAAGTATGATCCTGGTTCGAAATCAAATATTTCACGAGACGAGAATAGGGTATTTAGTACTATTTTCTCTGTTGAAAAAGGTTTAAAATGTCTTCAAAAAGTGAGGTAAGAAAATGTAATTACAAAATTTAAGTATTTAGTATTATTATAAAAAAGTATTGTGTAACCTATTGTCCTTGCAGTTCAAGCACATACTTTGGAATTATGTATGATCTGTATATGGTTGCTCTTGACGAACAAAAACAAATGCTTCCATCAAGAGACGTGCATGCTGCATACTAACCTTTTGGGAAAGGTTCGACACGTGTTACATGGGAGGTTACTTTGGGAGCCTCAGGTTGAATTACCACCAGCACGCCATCCACGAGGTGACTAGAGACCACATGAGCAGGGTCTGCTAAAATTAAATGTTGATGCTTTTTTCATGGCTTCAAGGGATGTGGTAGGGTTGGGGACAGCTCTTAGGGACTCTGATGGTAAAATTGTATTTTCATCTTGTTGTGTAGTAGATAAGGAGACCAATGAGTTACATGCGGAAGTAAAAGCTATTAAATAGGGCTTACAGATTGTAAATGAGCTTGGGGTTGAAAACTTTATGGTGGAAAGTAATTGTCTAATGGCTATAAAGGAGATTTTAAACGAGGCGGATTCCCTTTTTGCAGGAGGCAATGTGATTCAAGATATCAAGCAGTTAGCTACAGGATTTCAAACTTGTTCTTTTCAACATATTAATAGGAATGCTAATAAGTTAACTCATAATCTTGCGAGAGCATCAACCTCTTTGGAGGAACAGAGGATATGAAATAATTCTCTCCCTCCTTTTTTATGTAAAAAGATTTATGTTGAGAATGAATGAAGCAATAGTTATCTTTATAAAAATATATATAATAAAATATTAAAAAAATATGATATAATGATTTTCTAATCCAAAAACATTTTCTTACGATAAAAGTAGTTTTTAAGGAGTTTTTTTCACTTGGATTTATAAATTAAGTTTTTAAATTGAAAAACTACATTTTTTTTTTTATTTAACATTGAAATTGAGTCAAAAACAATTTGATGGGGAGTAATTACCAAACTAGTTGTTTTGAAGTTGAATGATAATTTTTCAAAAAAAAAAATTGAATGATAAAAATGAAAAAAAAAAACATTTGTCTCGCTAATTTTAAATACCAATATTGGAGAAATAATAAAAGTACATTGTCCCAATTGCTGAGTTTGTCATTATAAACTTCAAAAAAGAGATTGATCGAATTGAGTTTTTGCGTGGATCAATCTTCTTAATTTTGCTTTGATATTGATTTAATTAGTTGATAATAATTTAAAATATGATATGATGATACGATAAAACTATAATATAAAAATAAAATATGATAATAACAAATTTAAAATTTTAGTAATAACTATATATAGATTTAATAAAATTAAAAAATATATATTTTATATTTTCATATCAACACGAATTATGATACATAATTTTCATATAAAATACGATACAAATATATAAATTTTAATATTTTACATTATACAAATACGTACATTGCCATGTTTAGCTTCAGTAACACCAGAACACAATATATTTACGAATGATTTTTTATACCGAACTTGGTACCAGATAATATTAATTATTTTTGTTGATTTTGGCTAGTTTCGATGAATTTCAATGAATTAATTTTTTTGGATAGTGCGTGAAATGTAAAACATATTTTATTATATTTTAAGTTAATTTTTGTTGTTTGATTATTTTTAACCTTGTAAAAAAAATTAATTGTAAAAATAACCTTTAAAATTTGGATTTTTCTATCTTCTAAATATTATTTTTTATATTTTTAAACTTATTATGATAAATTGATGATATTATGTTTTAAAATTTTAAAATTATTTATTTAGTTTTTAAAAATATTACATATTTATTTTATAAATTATTAATAGTATTATTATAGTTCATACATATTTATAAATATATTTATATTAAATTAAAAAATTTAAAATAATATATCAA